CTTGCACTGTAAAAATCCGATTTCATTGTTTAATATCTAGGATCAACATCAACCACAACTTATTTCCCATTTAATTTTTCCAAGAACCCATTGATTTTTTTAAATTATTTCTAGCCATGGGCTTCAATAAAAGATTAATATTTGAGGTAATAAAAAAAAATATCCAAAAGAGAGGTTTTGGTAGTATTTGCATGAAGAATGACGCCCCTTGTTTAGACAGAAAGAACTGCAGTTTGAATAGAAAGCTTTATGTATTGGTCAGTGAAAAAAAAAAAAATTATTAAAAGTAATATAGTTTGTTTTGTTCAATTTGTTAGTTTGTTAAGTTGACCCGACACTTTCTGTTTTGAGAAATTGGGAATGAATATTCCATTATAAAATGTGAAAAACTATGACAAGAGTGTAAATCGAATTTTATTCACCTAGTGAGGGGGACCTGTAAATAGATACATGTGGTCATTTGCTACACTTGTTGTCCAAATGTTTGGAAAACACATATTCTTGTTAAATACAGAAGTCCACTCATACCAAATTTCATTAGAAAAAACAAAACCCTACTATTTACATTCTATTCTTCTCCACTTCTTCACCGTCCTCTACCACATCCGTTGCTTCACTATTTCTTTGATCTATTTGGAATCATTTACAGGTTCCTCTACTCATGGTTTTGTTTTCGATGATGTATTGAGTTGTCTCGTGTCTCGAACTTACAATATTTCTTACAACTTCTCATAGTGTTTCACATTTTTTTCAAAGAGAAATGAATTTAAATTGTCCATATTCCAATTCTATCTCAAAACAAGAGCGGAGTGTGCGCGCTCGTCACACTCTACAACCACGACTAACATATGTAAACAAAAAACTATATTACTTTAATAATTTTTTTTTTTTTTCACCTGACCAATAACTAAAGCTTTCATATAACTGCACACTGCAGTTCTTTTTACTTTTCAACAACAGGGGTCCATCTTCATGCAAAGTACACCAGGAAGAAAACACAGAGGTCGAGCCGAGCGGGTGGTCGGTATGATATAGAATGAAACTTGTAGCATTGGGGAAAATCAAACAGTCTAGCATTTCACTTATAAAACTAAATTTTTCCACAATACTTTTCAAATTTTCTATTGGTGAAAAAAAATTTAAAAAAACAAGAATTCTATATCTTATGCCTTTTTACTTTCTCATTATAAATGAGTTATAATTTGGAAAAAAAAAAAAAAAAAAAAATGTGTTTTTAGTTAATCTGAAGAAAAAAAAAAAAAAAAAAAAAAAAAAAAAAAAAAAAAAAAAATAATAATGTTGGAGAGAAGAGATTTTTTGACAATTGGAATGTGACTAAAAAAAAAAAAAATATGGGTTTTTTCATTTTCAAAACTCTCCCAGAAAATTTTTTTAAAAAAAAATATAAAAAAAAAAGTTGCAAAACTTTAAACATTTTACAAACATTTTAATGGACCTCAATTATTGAGCCAAAGAGATTTTCTGCTTCTAAGCATTCTATTCCTCAACATTATGTCTTCAACCACTGAGGCGATCATTTAAGGGCCTGGAAGGAAACTCATGCCATGTTGCCTGCACCAGTCATGTATCAGATATAATAGCTGGCAAACTTTCTTGTGAATTTGATGATCTTGAACTCTATTTTCGTTATACTGAATATGATATTTTATTTAGTTTATACATGTCCCCCCAGTGCAAGTTGTTAATGAATCCTACACTGCAGAAAACTGTGTGAATACGTATCGGAAGAAAGGTGTTGAAAAATTGACAAAGTGGACAACCCAAAAAATATTCATTTTAAAAGCATCTGGTATCTTAAATTTAAATACAATTTCCACAACTGATTTTGTGGTTCGTAAGAGGCAATATTTTCTACATTTCTTCCACCAATATATTATAGAAGAGGTTCGGTCTTTTTTCAATTTTGCCAAGATTCAATTTTTTTTTTCACTTTTCTTCTACAGACACGTCCCTGTGCATCTCTCTCTTTGGTAAGAATTGTGACCCAGTGATATCTAGATTAATTAAGACAGATAATTACATTTTTCTCAATGGCACTGTGTCATAGTAGCTCAGGCTGAACAATAATTGCCATATATCGTAACCACATGAGCGCACAGGAGCTCACAATGACACTCGTGCCATTGCATGCAACCTATTGTACTCGACATTTGTGGCGCACAGTGAACCAAGTTTCAGCATGCTCCTGGGAACATGAACTTCAGTAAAGGATTAAACCAGACATTTTCCAGAAAATTACAATGAAGGAATACATGATGAAATATCAGATTGACTAATGTTTTGCAAATAATTCAGAAAACATAAAATTTCCATGGCAATGGATCTCACAGATCTATTGGGGGCACTCCGGGTTGGTATCATTACGAGGACACATTCTCCACAAATGATTAAGTACGTAATTTTGAGTTAAATTGAGTTTTTTCATGGATACCTTGAAGTGTTGGTGCAATATTATTTATTAAAGTTAACACCTTACTAATTATGAGACAGTATGAGGCGGTTGTAGGCATTCACTAGTTTTTCTTTTCTCTAGAATATTGTGAAACGTGTAAATAAAACCATTTCCCACTCTCCACGAAATTTGCCTGTAAATTCTATAATATTGCACCAACACTTCAGGTATCCCATGAAAAAACTCAATTTAACTCAAAATTACGTACTAATATTGTGGAGAATGTGTCCTCGTAATGATACAACCCGGGAGTGCCCCCAATAGATCTGTGAGATCCATGCCATGGCAATTTTATGTTTCTGAATTATTGCAAAACATTAGTCATCTGATATTTCATCATGTATTCCTTCATTGTAATTTTCTGAAAATGTCTGGTTTATCCTTTTACTGAATCATTTCCCAGGAGCATGCTGAAACTTGATCACTGTGCGCAGCACAATGTCAGTCAGATAGGTTGCATGCAATGGCACCAGTGCATTGTGAGCTCTTGGCCTATGTGGTACATATCATGGCATTATTTTCAGCTGAGTCTATGACAAGTGCCTATTCAGAAAATGTAATTATTTGTCTTATCTAGGATCGACTGTCACAATTTCTTCCCAAAGAGAGAGATGCACAGGAAGTGTCTGTAAGAAAGTAAAAAAAAAAATTGAATCTTGCAAAATGAAAAAAAGACAGACTTTCTAAATATATTGGTGAAAAAAATGTAAAATATATGATTCTTTAGAACCCGCCAAAATCAGTTGTGGAAATTGTATTTAATAAGATAAGATCTTTAATGATTTTTGTGTCTACTTTGTCAATTTTCACCTTTCTTACCATACGTATTCACACAAGGTTTCTGCAGTGTAGGATTCATTAACAACTGCACTGGGGGACATGTATAAACTAAATAAAATACATATTTCAGTAAATAGAGCTTCAGATCATTCAAATTCACAAAAAGTTGCAGCTATATCTGATACACTGCAGGCACTGGCATGAGTCCACCAATTATGATCACCCTCGTGTTGAAGACATAATGTTGAGGAATAGATTGCTTGAAGAAGAAAATCTCTTGGCTCAATATTGAGGGTCCATAACATGTTTGTAAAGTGTTTAAAGTTGCACTTTTTAAAATTCTGGAGATTTGAATGAAAACCCATATTTTTTAGTCAAATTCAATGTCAAAATCTCAACATCATTTTTTTTCTTCAGCATTACACATTTTTCATTATACTACATTTATGAGAAAGTAAAAAAGGCATAATATGAATTTTTCAAGTAGAAGATTTGAAAGTATTTGTGAAATAAGTGAAATGCTGATGTTGATTTCATCTATATAAGACTGAAGAAAGTGAGAAGAATAAATGTAAATGTGTTCTATGAAAATTGTATCATGGACTTCTTCTGTCATTTAACAGAATATTTTCTCCAACACATTTTGACAGTGTAGCCAAAGACCACACTGTATCATTTACAGGTCTCACTATGGTGAACTACAATCATTTACACTCTCATAGTTTTCACATTTTAAATGAATATGTCAATTCCAATTATCTCAAAACAGAAGTGTCGGGTCACTTACAAACTAACAATGAAACAAAAAACTATATTACTTTTAATAATTTTTTTTTTCACTGACCAATACATAAAGCTTTCTATAACTACACTGCAGTTCTTTACTTCAACAAGGGGTCATCTTCATGCAAATACACCAGAAACTCATCTTTTGTATATTTTTTACCTCAATACTTAATTCTTTATTGAAGCCCATGGCTAGAAATGAATTTACAATGTTCTTGAAAAATTAATGGGATAAGTGTAGTTCTACCTAGATATTAAACAATAAATGGTTATTTTTACAGTGCAAAAAGACTAATGCAAAATGCTAATAAAACAACTCTCTTCACTCAAAGATGCTGTTTCTAAACAATGTTTCATTATATGGAACACACGTTTTTCATTTAGGCATATTTTCCAATTACGAGGAATTTTCACTTGTAATACACAAACAGCATTTATTAATATCTGTATTGCATGCACAGACCACTGTTTAATGTAGGGAAGAAAGGCATAACACTTACAGCATTAATAGGGGAGAGAGAATTGAATATCCTGGAATGTGTCCAAGCTTTGATAAATGTCACTTGAGCACAAAGAAAATAATATTAATATTTCAAAGAAGAGCAGAGAGATCACAAATTATTGTTATTTGGCACACATGAATAATATAAATGAAAAGTTTCTCCAACTGTTGTATGAAGAAGATTTGCAAGTTTACAAAAATGTAAGAAGGTCTTTATAAATATTGTGGAGATGATATTCTTCTCTCACTTCCTTTGCCAATGCCCATGCTGTGTACAGCTATTACCATAGAGGAAAGACTGCCTTTCCTCTATGCTATTACACTATTTTAAGCCCCTTGTACTCTCATTATACAGGTACTAATGACAAAATATGCTGTAGCATATAACGACTAGTCCATTTCTTCTATATCATATATTCTACATCCACTGCCAGGTTTTGTGATAAACACTAGTGTGTTTAAATCTTGACCTTTATACATAGGATTTTTGAGATAGAACTCTTCTTTTAGTAAATCAACTAGTGTTGGAGCAGTGGCTTTAGTAGCTAGGGAAACAGTACAGCCTCCCCATCTGTAAACAAATAATATTACAATCTTTAAGGGAAAGAAGTAAGTATAAGCATTCAATTTTCTGAATTAGAAAGGGGGAGGGGCAGGGGCAGAAGAACTAACACTGACTTTTTTAATATGAAATAACTGACAACATTATAAATAATAATATGTCCATGCTACAATAACAGTATATTTGCAGAAATAAAGTAAGCACACCAGACATTATATTTTTAACATATCTTTCTCAAAATTTTTATTTAGGGTGACTTGTATTACTGTTGAAGTATCAAAAGCTTACAACTTCATGACCTTTATCTACAGACTCATCATAAAGGCATGTTATATATAGTAATCATATACTATAAATGCACCAATTCACAGTAATTTATTTAAAATTTGGAAACTTACCCAGCACCAGTGAGACGGCACCCAAGAGCATATTTGCTAGCTACCTCTATTAATTGATCCAATTGTGGGTGAGAGCACTCGTACAATTTAGCCAGACTTTGATGACTTGCTTGCATTAGTTGACCCAACTGCTCAAGAGCATTACTTTTATCACCTTCTTCACAAATTTTACAAAATTTGTCTACTCGTCCAGCTTCTACAAGAAACACAGTATGCATCAATATAAGATTCAAAATTATTTATGATTTAATTAGATTTATTTTGTGAAAGAACGTTAAAAACTGTATGTGACATATGGGGGAGAAGTACAATCTCTGTGTGCTTCCTTGAACTTCTGACTCTCTTCCACAAACTGAGGTTAGCAGCATTTGAAAACTAGACATTGCAGCACATGAAAAACAGATAAACTAGACAGCTTAACAAAACGTGTACTTAGAGAAGTCACATTTATGCCCAGAAGAAAAACGAGGGGCCCTCTCAGCATTTACTCAATAGATCAAATTTTCATAAAAACCACAGATTTGTAATTAAATAAGAGAGGCAATGGTAATTTCAAAATATAAATATAAGATTTAAAGAAAGAAATTCAAGCATAAATCACTACAATAAATTAAAAAAGTTATAAAAATTGAGACACTAAGGAAACCTCTTTGAAAAGTTGTCACAGTTTATCTACTTAAGTAGAAAACTACTAGTAAATACATTAAAAAATGGCTTGTGTGACTCTTTCACATTCAAGAATAATATGAATTTTAAAGTATAATATTGAATTAAAAGGTTACTGGAGCTCAGATTTTTAGAGACAATGTATATAGAGAAAAATCATAAACAAACAAACCTCGAAACACATGGAGAGCTCGTTGAAATAACTTGAAGGTTTTCACATGTTTCACCTTAGGATTAAGGCTTGTATGCTCTAGTTCCTGTTCTGTTACTTCCAATGCCTGACAGACCTAAAGTGGTAGGTTCAATGACAATCCTTCCAAATTGTGAACGCAATCAAAAGGTTTAATCAATTATTTTAAGAATATACACAGAACTTTCAAGCATAATATTTTAATTATTTATAACACCTTAATGTTCCATTATCATACGAGTAAAATAAACCAAATTTCTGTACTTTGCCAAGCAAACATTCCACAAACAAATCATTTCCACAAATAATGAAGAGTATTCTATCAGATTTATCAATGGTCAAATTAATCATCTGTATAAATCAATTCTTCACCTACTTCTTCTTTGGTGTATGGATGTTCATGAAGAGTTTCAGCAACAATATCTTCCATTTCAGCTAAAGTTAACTTCAAAGATACTTGTAAGTCAGCAAGCTTATTTATCTTTCGCCAAGTTAATCCCTTCTTTTTGGCTATAATCTGTTTATTCATAATTGTAATTACATTATTTATATTTTCAATATTATTTGACTCTAAATCTATGTACAAAATAACAACACAACACAAATGTATTACATATTTTCATGATTTCCTTCAAAGATTTACCTGGCCAGCTAAACGACATTCTGCAACTCGCTGATTAAAATCACTTGTTGCAGCTTTATTTAGAGAATGGAGACTATGAGCAATAACAAATACAGCATCTGATGGGAGCTGTATTTCCGTTGTTCGGAGAGGATCAAATTCAATATGCTTGGCCGAACCTATTTGATTAACGAAAAAAACATCAAAATACCACATCGGAACAATATTAAATTTCTATAATAAAGATTTATTTAATTCTGTACTAACATTCAAATCTGGTCATAAGATCAGAAGAATTACATTATCAGATCACACTATTTAATAGGCTAACAGGCCTCTGCTAAAGGAAATAATCCTTACACGCCTTTTCACTCTTTTAATTAATACAAACTTAAGCATATGTCAACTTACACACACAGATTTGAATTTTTCATAAGCATAAAAATATTTTTAGGCAGCTTGACCCACCAATTAGCCCGATTCAGACCTCATGCAAATATCACAGGATGGACCCACATGCTTCAGCAACTCCATGTTGTTATATATATAAAAATTATATTAATATATATACAAAAAAAATGTGTTGCATCATTGTTGACGCAATGTTCCTCTTTAACCCTTGTTGGGTATTGAGGGCTTCGCATGGAGTAATCCTCCATGTAATTACTATATTTATCAAGTCTCATCACGTCACAGTCAATCAGTGCCTTTTATCCCTTTGACCAAGGGGTCAACGCTGTTAGATCATGGGGTTCTGAGCAGGTCACACAATCAAAAACATGTGAGTTTCAAATTTGCTTAACCTTCGTGACTTCACAGAGCGTAGTAAACGGATTCAGCTAGCAATGCCGATAGCCGAATCCCTTACTAGTTTTCATTATATTTACTAGTTACCTTACTAGTTTTGATTATCTTTACAGGATGCATTTAGTGTTGCTTACCAGCAGTGGCAAGAAAGGCAATTGCTTGATCCATACCACCACCTTGGGTACCAATGTAACGTTCAGATTGAGCGCACACAACTGCCAACTGGTCAAAAGTGAACTGCACCTGAACATAAGAAGCAAGACACAATATATAATTTAACATTTTTTGAGGTGTCAGTTATATTCTCTCCATTATTTAATACAGCTAACATTCTTTTATTTGGCATGTACTTGGTGTACGAATGTTTAAAGGAGTTTAAACATTTGCTTCAATATAAACTGAAATTAACCATGGAGGTCATACATTTTGATCTGTTGCTTCACATGTGTATTCATATTAATAAATACCTTATTAACTAGAGCAGTTGCTAGAGCAGCAGAACACACCAGTGCACTGGAGCTGGATAAGCCAGATGCAAGAGGAATGTTCCCAGTCACAGCCGCCAAAAATCCAACAGGTATGTGTTTTTCACTAGTTAATGATTCTAATACACCACGTACACCACATAGGACATAACTATACCAGCCTGGAGGGGAACTCCCCTCTTCCAAAATACTGTGAAGAATATTTATATTATTGACACATTTATGATCAAATTATAAAATGTTAATATTTTCTATTTTCTAGCTGACATCCTTACCTGAATGTCCTGATGTCACACGAGAAGTCTTTATGATTAGGATCAGTATTTGTTAAACTAATAGAAAAATCATTACTCTCACACACTGCTATAAGAATATCTTGTTGAATAGCCATTGGGCAAACAGAATACCCACAATAATCAATATGTTCACCAATTAGATTCACCCTGGGAAATACACAATTGAAAACACACACAAAAAAAGCAATAAAATAGAACACGTAAACTAGCAAGCAATGAGAATGCAGCAACCCTTTTACATACCTTCCTGGCACACGAACAAAATATTTAGGTTCACATTTGAATTTGTCAACAAATAGTTTTTGTAGTTCAATGAACCTAATTTCCTTCATGTCTGAGGTCAGAGAAATATTTGTACTTGGTGGAGGTGACATTCTATTATTAATGACCTACTCTAGAATGTGGATATATTACTGAAAAAGATTGGATGAAAATGTATCATATTAAAATTAATTTCCAACGATACTTGCCAGAAATTTTGTCACTTACATACAGCGTCCCGGCGTCCTCAAAATTACGTCATCATACCTATCTTATCATACTTATCAATTATGAAATACTGCAAAAAGCGGGACAACTAATGTGATAAATCCTAAAACATTGACCGACTGACAAGTACTTAGCTTGATAATACCATCATACGCATCGTGCCTGTCATATATATGCCCTTAGTGGCCCATAGTATTTAGCCCTTTGTATTCTTGCTTAAGTGAGATGGTAATTATTCAGAATAACAAATGCAATTTAGTGGCAAATAAATAAAACCATAGGAGGAAAAAACATTTGGCTTGCGGGACCTCTTTTGCGCACGTGTCAACTTGACCGCCAGAGAGAGACGAAGTAAGGCAACATTTCCGCCAGATTTACGCTCTCACTCTCTCACGCAAAACAATCATGTTCTTACGGAACGTTTTGGTATAGTTGGTATGACTGACTGTTCATGCCTGAACATAGAACGAAAGTTGGCATTACGTGTTTTTAAATGCCTAACCTGGGGCCCAACTGTAACCAATGATGGTCGACTGAATGTTGAGCCGATTGTAGCACCGCGCTACGGCATTCTGCTCAATGACAGATTGAAACAAACACGTAGTATGGATACCTACATGTACAAAATGTATAATTGTACATCGTGGTTTATTTGTGGCTTAACTGCGTAGTTTTATAAAGTGTCATTGAATTTAGACTCGGAATGGCGGATAAACAAGCTGTTAGTGATTCACAGTGCGTGAGAGTTTTGGCAGAGGAAGATGTAACATCTCGAATTTTAGAACGTAAATCCTCTGAAGGAGGATTTGTTGATAATGAGAAAGATACTGAAAAACGGAAAATGAGGGAACCTTCTGTCGAAAGTGAAGCTAGACTCAAACGACAAATTAAAAAAGATGACAGTGGTATATCTGTCGAAAAGTCTGAAAATAGTTCCGAAGAAGATGCTTCTAAAAGGTCAAAAAGGACCGACGATCAGATTGGGGAAGGCGAGTGTCGGACTCGTACAGAGGAAGAGGTCCAGTTCCCAAAATTAAAACTCAAATCAAAAAATAGAAATTATAGATCCAAAACATCAGGCAACAATGGTAGTTCTGATGAAGATGCTGGAGATGTTAATGAAACTGAAGGAGAAGAGAAAGAGATGAAAGGGAAAGGTGGTAAAAGTAGTCCAGATTCCGGTCATTTAGAAAATGGATCTGCAGTTGAAGATGTAGAAATGGAAGAAACCGCAGATCATTCTAACGATGAGCCAGAATCACATAGTAAACCCTTTCATCCATTAGACAGTGATGAATCAAACGATTCTTCTGACAGTCATTGTAAAAAACGTGATGGTGGTGACAGTGATTGGGAAGATATACCAAGTGTACTTTTAAAGCCAAAACCAAAACATAAGTGGTTTGTGATGCAGGAAGTAGTGAATAGGTACAGAGATACTCCTTTTTTGACATGGTAAAATAATTTAGAATGAGGGAGATAGTTTGTTACATGTATGTATTTTCAGGCAAAGAGGTGTGACAACTCGCCATCAGGGTCCTCAGTTATTTCAACAGCGCTGTTATGGATCATTGCATGTTGTGCAACGACTTGAGCTCATGTATAAACTAGAAGCATTTCATGGATGTGTAAATGCATTGCATTTCAATTCTTCTGGAACTCTTTTAGCTAGTGGATCTGATGATTTGACCATTGTGGTGTGGGATTGGCCTTTGGGAAAAATGGTTGTGATGTATGACAGTGGTCATCGTAGTAATGTGTTTCAGGTTTGTATTTGTTTTTAAATTCGAATGTATAATATTTTTTGTTTTATTTTTGATTAGTGTGATTTATTGAGCTAAAATATGCTTTTAAATATTTGTACTTTCACAGGTCAAATTCCTACCATTGACAGGTGATACACACTTAGTGTCATGCGGTCGAGATGGTCAAATTCGCATGGCTGAAATGTCTTCAACAGGGGTTTGTCGTTCTACACGGGTTTTGGGCAGTCATCGAGGGCCAGCCCACAAGTTATCGATTTTACCAGATACTCCTCATGTTTTTCTAAGTTCAGGTGAAGATGGACTTGTAATGAGTGTGGATGTACGTGTGCCTAAACCACATAAGTGAGTAAATTGAATTTCATGCATATGGATGTGTATTTTATGCCCCACTGCATTGTCTTGTTGATGAATAATATAAGTGAATTTACTGATAGTCTTGCATTTGTGTTTTGTTTAATTGTACATTGTTTTAATAGGATTTTCTTTTTTTTAGATTAGTTAATGTTCAAGAAGATGGACGCAATATAGCATTGTATAGTATACATTCAAATCCACTTAACAATAATGAATTTTGTGTCAGTGGACGTAATAATTACATCCGAATATATGATAGAAGGAAAGTATCCAGTCATGAAGAACTGAAGAAATTCTGCCCCAGTCACTTGGTGCGTAATATTCAATATTTTAATTTTAATTAAAATTATCAATTATATGAATATCTTATCACCCCAGTATGACTAATTTGAGATGACATTGAGAAGACAATATTTTGAATTTTATTTGTATTTTAGTTAGGTGACAGTACCTCGCCTAAAGTAGAGTACACGATACACCCTCAGAGAAGCTTGGCGGCATAGGGGAGGGGTAACCTTTAGCCCTCCCTCAAATTATGCTACACGCTCTGATAGAAATGAATAAAACTTACGGATTTGCGATTTTCATGGCTTACCCTTCATACGCTTTGTCCCCGCCACATTGCATTTGCGATCTACTTTCAATGGCAAGTTTTCTTGCTTTGCTCACCCGGATCCAAGTCACTGCGAGACTGGCCTTCTGCCCTACCAATTCACTTTTATAAGAAAGCACTTTTCAAGAGAGTCTCCTGAATTTAAACTGCGCAATTACTGCCACAGTGACGCAAAGTGCTGATTTAAACAACTTCCATAAGTTGTATTTCATACTAGTCTTCAACCATTACTGCTCCAACATGGTGTGTGTAAATTTAAATTTCAGCAGAATTACAGGACAGTTCTCTTTTTCAATGATAAAAGTTTTTCTAATAACTTATTAAATATGTTAGTGAAAGTGTTTGAATCTGTAATGGTTGGGTTGGTGAAAATAAAAATTAACCATTACAAAAACTCAAGGTTATGGGAAAAGTTAACGGGGAAAAAATAGAAGTACAGTGAATGATTGTAATATTAAGTTACTATTTTAAATGAATTTTAATTACAAAACATATGTTAAAAACAAAATGGTTTGTAGGGTATTGTTTGGCTTGAGATAAGAAAAGAGGTGTGGTGCTTAAAATGTAAAATGTCTTAAGATCGTAAATATCTCTCTCGCTTCTTTCTCTCTGTGCCCACAAATGTGACTAAGCTGAAGTGACATTTTGCCACTTTCTTTTTCAAGCATAATTATTAAATAATACAAGATTCACTGAAGAAGGGTGGGTGTGTATTTAATATTTCTTGCATGGTCTGAAGTTTTGTTCCTGTCCAAGGCAGTTAATTTCTGGTTTCGATATGTCTGCAAGGTACAGGGATCACAAATTAATCTTCAAAGACCTTGGAAGGAGCTTTCAATCTTAAAAGTTTATAAGCCATTTCTATGTTTTGCAATTTAATTTTTGTCTATTTCTGTTATTGAAATTACTAAATTGTTATAAAGTGTGAAATCCTTAACGAACCATGGAGTTCCTGATCTTCTTTGTGATGTTTCTTCTTCTAATGCAGGGAAATATGTTTTTAAAATTTAGTAGCTTCTATTTTTCTGTATTTGTTCACTTATTCTCTTCATTACTGGTATTGTATCTGGGCGAGCCCATGTCCAGATTTTTTTCCAGAGGGGAAAGTAATGAACTATTAATTTATGTTATGAACATTGTCATTTTATTATTTCCTTCTCACAGCAGTTAACTTTTTCACATTAAAATTGTATGAAATCAGAATTAGAAATCACTAATTTTGATGGAACTTGTGGCCTATGTATTGGGGGGGAGGGGTGTGAACCTCCTGACACCCTCTGGGTAATGCCTTCAATGTCGCATTAAAATATTATTTAGAACATGTTTAAGCTCTGTAAACTTTTTGTTGTGACTGTGTTAATTTTACAGGTAGTTTTCATGTTAATTGGGTCCTAATTATTGCTTTCAGGAATGTTCATCCGTTAAAAGTTTTATCAAAAATTATTTGTCTGAAACACTGATGTCCAGTGGTGTTAGTTCATAGCATTTTTGTCTAAAAGAAATTTTGTCCATAGATTTTTCAGTCCTCAGAAAAATGATACAATATATTTTATTCATTTATTACAATTTTAAATTTTTTGATGTGTGGTGGGGTTAAACCCAATAATAGGATGATGTACAAGATAGCTTAACATAATGTCATATTAACATATAATTCTGAATTATGTACACGTTCTAGATTATGTACATAATAAAATCAACTAATAAATCCATGTTGCTTTTAAGTGCAAAATTACTCATTAGATCTCAAAGAGTAGACAGTATCAGTTTGAGTGGCGCATTATAGGTATATATAGGAATATAAAATGGTCTGTTGTTACTGAAATTAAATTGGGGTACTGATTTTGAGTTTTCAGATAATGAAAAACAAGATATAAAAACTTGTAATAATTTTGATAAGATTCAGAATTTGATGGAAGTGCGTCTTATTTTTAAGACTTTGAAAATTAAATTCAGTTTAAAAAAAGTTGGTATCAATTGCTCTTGGAGGATAGTTGCCTGTTGATTTAACTCTGAAAACTTCTAAAAACATCTTTGATTAGTTTCAAGCATTCTATTCCAATCAATAGCATCTCCCTGATTATCGCAAGCTGTTTCTCATAAAAAGTAATACTTACATCATTTAAGGACACCTTTCCATTGCTCAACAGTTTCAATCACTTTAATTCTTGCCAGCTTTCTAGATTCCCTAAAATTTGCCTCATTTTTTTGCAATTGACTCTCGACGAATTGATAACGATTACGAATACACAGGATGATGAAGATCAATAATGAAGATTGGAGAACTCTCACTAATAGCACTCAGAATGCAGGAAGTGTTGGAGTAAAAGGGATCAAGTACATTTCCACAATTATTAGTTAATTCATTATATTGATGAATTTTTAGAAACAATTAGAACTTAGAATTAGAGCTTTTCTTTGCTTTCTGCTTTTTTTAAGCAAGGCTTTTCTTTTTGGCACTGGGCTCGAAATATAAACACCCCAGAGCAGTAGTCTATTAACTCCACAGGCCAGCAGTACAGATTTAACACAGAGAACAGAATCTATAACCAACACCAGCATATAATATGTTTATGTTGTATCAGCTGATGGCAAAGCTGTTGCATTTCTTGGATTAAATAATGTAAATGTAGACCAATCAACATAAATGTAATGTCTATCATTTACATCAATGAAATGTAAATCAATGTAAACATCTATGAATTTTGGCGGTTGTTAGGTGGCAAAAGTAAAGTTAAATGTCATGTATTTCCTCAACACTAAATCTTATGATGTTGGGGACTCAAAAGTTGACCAAAAATGCAGTATTCTTCGTACATCATACATCGGGGTTGCATTTATAAGTAATGCCCCCTTTCCAATAGAAGAGAGGACATATCATCCTTTGTTGTAAAATCCACCTGGACAGTTTTTCTTACTTTAAGAAGAGGGTATTTCCTGGGAAAAGAGGACGTATGATAATCCTACTCTTGAAGGCAATTTCACATCACCTAATACTAAATAGCATACCATAGAACCTTGAAGATTGACTGACATGGAGGAAATTACACATTTTAAAACAATACCTGCAATTGATTTATGATTTATTTAATGTAATGAATGCCCATCTTTTAGTTCATACATTTGTTTTTTGAGAACTCCCTGGTAGAGCTAAAATTATTTAAAGGAAAATAATGTGGACTGAATCAGGCAGGAACAATATATATACAGGATGAAATTTCACACAGCAGTACCAAAAAGACTAGATGAAAAATTTGTGGACAGAAATGAATGAAGAACTTGGTGTCAACAGGACACAAGTATTTTAAGAACATAATGAGATTGGATATAAACAATGAATGAACATTTTGTTAACATTAATTATTATGTAGCTTATTTATAAAAGTGTTCTTAAAAAAGCTATGTAACTAGCTTGTTCATGAAAAGAACATCACTTTGTTGATTTATTATTATTAGTAGTAGTTGAAGACTGTAATGGTTTGAAAATTTTAGCCGAAGAATAACTAACTGTACATTCTTAAATTAAGGAGATAGAGGAACGGTGAGGGAAGAAAAGTCGAAAAGCAAAAAGGGAATGAGAAACCAAAAAACATTTGTTTTATAGTATCTAGCAGTACTTATTGGCAATATAGTTTTCTTAGGAGACATAAACTTGATATTTCTTACACACTGACTCTATAACAATACATCTTCTGGATGATTCAGAAGTGTTACGAAGTTGTAGGTCATGGTGGGAAGGTTGAAGATAACTACTTCTGTCAATAAATATGTAGTAGAGAAATCCCATTTGACGGAGTTACTCGCCTGACATTTCTCGCACGAATCCCTAATCGGTACGCAACTCGTCCTGCATCGAAGCTTCGAGGGTGCGCGCATTCGCCCTCCGTTGCCGCGCCGCTCGTCCGTTCGTTCCTCGAAACCCCGGCCTCATTTTGGATCACCAGTCGTATGACGAGGTTTCCTTGTGGCTGCCCATGTTGTGCCTGTGTTCCGCCCTTGTTGTGAGTCAGTTTTGCAGTAACGGCGTTATTTTATAATACCTTCATGCAGCCAGCATGATAAAGTTAGGATTCGAGAGTTACCGCTGTTGTCACCGGCAGCCACATGACCGCCAACAACTTACCAGACAAGCTTAGTGGCGCTTACGAGAGGCCTGGTGTGAAGGCTGCCATTCAGAAGTGGGTTCTACTGAATGAGAAGGTCTGCGCTGCTGGTGTTAGGTGTGCGCCACTCACCGCCTCTTGTAAATACTTCCATTTTCTCGAATGCTTTGCCAGCAAAAACGCTGCCGAGAGGCTCCGCGTGAAGGGGCGCCGTGGCGGGGTTCCTCTCGCTCTGTTCCGAAGCAGGGGGCTCCTGTTTGCGGAGTATTAGGAAATGCTCTTCCTTTATGGGAGGGCTGACGACTTTGGCAAAGCTGCGCGCAGAGGTGTCTTCCTGGCTAGCTCATCCTAGTACACACTGTTTGCACGGGTGGGCCAGCGACTCCATGACACGGGCGGTGCTATGATTTGGGGAAGGTTTTCGGGAGAATGTATTGCTCTATTTCAGAGAGTACCGCTCAAGTGCCGTCGCTCGCAAATTGCAAGTAATCAGAAATGGTGCGTTAATAATACTAAAGGAACTGCTACTTTACCCCTTCCATTTTCAAAATGTGGTAGTACCCCGACCACGTGTAAAGTAATGTAGGTTATTTTT